TAACAAAATTTAAAAACAATTTAAAACAATTTAAAAACAGCAATATCAAACATTAAAAGCCTGTCGAAACAGGTATGTCTTACATGCCCTGCGGAAAGCTGATAAATCCCGCAAGGCACGGACTTCAGGTGGCAGAGTATTCCAGAGTGATGGTGCCACTGCTGTGAAGGCTCTGCGTCTGGTTGCTGTTAGGCGCAAGGTCTTGACACTGGGGACTTCCAACAGATCTTGGTCCTCAGAACAGAGGGATCTCTGGGGTTGGTAGGGGGTAAGGCGGTCCCTCAGATACATCGGCCCCAGACCATGCAAGGCCTTCGAGGTGAGTACCATCACTTTGAAAGTGATCCGGTGCTCAATGGGTAACCAATGCAGCTGCAGGAAGATTGGGGTGATGTGGCATCTCATCAGAATTTCCGCAAGAAGCCGAGCAGCTGCATTTTGCACCAACTTGAGCTTCCGGATCACCGACAGAAGGAGGCCAATGTAGAGGGCGTTACAGTAGTCCAGTCTTGAGATGACCGTGGCCTGGATCACCGTAGCGAGGTCGTCCCTGGACAGGGAGGGGGCCAGCCGTCTAGCCTGCCCCAGATGAAAAAAGGCGGTTCTGCTCACGGCGGAGAGAGACCTGGGCCTCCATCCTCAGCAAAGGGTCCAAAAGGACTCCCAGACTCTTGACCAATGATGATGGGTTAAAGTGTTGGCAAACTGCATTCATTCTAGCCCTTATAAATGACAGCACAGGAGCCATTAACTGCATTGGCTATTTCTTTGAATGTGCTTCACTATACAGTTGATACATTGGTCTCTAGAACAGCGGTTCTCAACCTGGGGGTCGCGACCCCTAGGGGGGTCGTTTGGCCATTTTCTGGGGGTCGCGAAGCTGCATTGGCTGGCCACGCCCCCTCCAAAATGGCGGCCAACCCCCTGCGCCACTGGCATTCCCACACGCAAAGCCATCCGCCTGTCCCTCATCTCCTTCTGATGGCAAAAGGAGGCGAGGGACGGGCAAGCGGCTCCACGGGCAGCTAGGCCACACGCGAAGCAATCCACCCCTCCCTCGCTTCCTTCTGATGGCAGAAGGAGGTGAGGGATGGGCGAGTGGCTCCTTGGGCGCCCCTCGCCTGCTCCACTCTCCCGCCGGCTGGCAGTGGTGCGGAGCAAGCGAGGGCTCTTCGTTGCAGGTGAACTATAAATCCCAGCAACTGCATATCCCAAATGTCAAGGTGTATTTTCCCCAAACTCCACCAGTGTTCACATTGGGGCATATTGAGTATCTGTGCCAAGTGTGATCCAGATCCATTATTGTGTGATTCTGCAATGCTCTCTGGATGCAGGTGAACTACATCTCCCAAACTCAGTGCTCACCAGACCCAGTATTTTTTGTTGGTTGCGGGAGTTCTGTGTGCCAAGTTTGGTCCAATTCCATCATTGGTGGAGTTCAAAATGCTCTTTAATTGTAGGTGAACTATAAATCCCAGCAACTACAACTCCCAAATGACATAATCAATTTTCCCTCCAACCCCACCAGTATTCAAATTTGGGCATATTGGATAACGTAAGGTAAAAGTTTTCCCCTGACATTAAGTCCAGTCGTGTCCAACTCTGGGAATTGGTGCTCAATTTCTAGGCCAAAGAGCCAGTGTTGTTCATAGACACCTCCAAGGTCATGTGGCTGACATGACGGCATGGAGTGCTGTTTTTGGTTATTTGTGCCAAATTTGGTCCAGTGAATGAAAATAGATCCTGCATTTCAGATTTTTACATTATGATTCATAACAGTAACACAATTATAATTAGGAAGTAGCAATAATAATAATTTTATGGTTGGGGGTCACCACAACGTGAGGCACTGTACTAAGGGGTCGCGGCATTACGAAGGTTGAGAACCACTGCTCTAGAAGGAAATGTGGAGATAGTTTGTATAGGAAAATTCAGCTTCCTTATTTCTGCCTAGGAACAACAACAATAATAAAAATACAGTCCTGAACTCGTGAGGTCAAAGTCAGGAAGACATTCCTTATCTGATAAGACGATTCCTTCCCAAAGATAGCAAAGGGACCGGGGTGGACTGGGCTCCTTCCCTCCCCGCCCTGGTAACAATGCTGATTGGCTTCCTTTTGGAGCATAAACAGGATCTCCTGCCCCCTGTCCCCTCCCGGTCCACTCCATCCTGTTGTGTCAAGGTGCCTTTCTCCCGTTCCTTTCTCATAAGCAGAGTGTGCAACCACCAACGAGTGCAAAGCCTTGATGTCCGAGCTGAAGATCCTCATCCACATTGGCCATCACTTGAACGTGGTCAACCTCTTGGGAGCATGCACCAAGCCAGGAGGTGAGACCTCCACAGTGGCAAATTGGACTCGTATGGATTTGATTACTGATGGATTTGATTTGAAATATTCTCTCTAGCAATCAATCTGACATCATTACTCAACATCCGCTTGGGTTGGCCATAGAACCACACTGGAGAACCCCTCTTGGTATATGTAGGACCTCCTGTATG